TCAAGCCGCATCAACGTAATGATCGGTTTGTGCACATCTTCCCATTGCACGCCATGTGATGTGGCGTGTAATGTTGTGGAATGCGTGCCGTCCGGCTGCAGGAAAAGTGAACCATTTGTTCATATCTTGATGGATATTACAGCAAGAGCTGAGCTAATATCAAATATTCTCACTGAGAGCTCTCAGCCTAGACCTCTCTCAGGACATACCAATACAGATTGAGAATAGCACGACATCCGACGGACCAACGACTGTGATTCATATCGAAACCTTAACCGTTATATTCTCGAACTAAAAGTTGCCATTTTATATTCCTGATAGAACATAATTTCTATAGTAGCATACAAGAAAGTTATACATAGTATCTCGGCGACTGTTATGATAGCGCTAAAAATCCACGGCCGGCCATGTACTTGGAGATCTTGCTGTTATAATCAGCTCTGAGCGATCCTGAACTCTATGAGCATTGTATCTACAAGATCATAAACCTGGGTGAGTGCTAGACCAGCGGCGGCCCTGTCCACCATCATTAGTCGATCATCGAATAGTTCTATAAGGAACTTGCCCAATGATCTCCAGCTCTTCCAAGGTTCGTTCCTTGCTATTGAAAGCGAACCACATAGTCAGGTCTGTTTGGTACGTGTTGTGACTGCCTGCCCCGAAGTTCGGCAACATGGGTTCAGGGGCCTTGGGGATCATGAATTCAGAAATACGTCAGGCTGCATTCCGAGACTCACAACGCTCGATCCTTTAGTTCCTACACCAGGTCCTTGCAATGTGTGAAACATCACGCAATCGTCTAGCACGAGATAATGATTTTGGAGTGAATATCACATTGAACCGCAGATAGCACTCACGGATTAGCACTCGGCTGTTTGGTCCCATTGCCTTGCGAATGTTACGGAGGATCGACGTTGCCTCAGCGTCCGGCCAATTGTGGAGGATGTGCCTCAACTACATAATGAGATGTTCGATTTACCGGTGACGAATGGAAAGGAAATTAGGCTCCTACATAGTAGACATCTTTCCCAACAACAGGTGCGTCCTCGAGAAAATTAATTGGGATGAACTCCACGCGGCCGTCAAGCAATGTCTCAGGAGCATTCTTCTCCCATGCCTAATCAGATATCAACGATGTGCCCGCTGGAATACCTATGTGTACTGGATATCTGAACTCACATTTTGTGCTTGTGCCATGACATTCGGGAGATCCTGATTGGTTATTCTAAGGTGAGGGAACATTTTCGCCAGAGGAGTGGAAAATGTTCCAATGCCAGATCCGACATCCACCACAGACGATATATCGTTCCAAGGATAGTCTTACAACCTGCCTCTCAGACATGTTAATGATTCGAAAATTGCGATGGCTTACGGTGTAGCACTGCAGAAGCGCCCAACACCTCACTCTGGCCAAGCATGGCTTTGTGAAACGCCTATAAATAGTGTCATGTGAGTCGTCACTCGAGGTCTGAAGCTTGAAGGATCGCTCTATACACACATCACGTTTCTCTTCCTAAAATGTGTCAAGGTACCGAAGGGGTAGTGTGATGACGAAAACTCACGTCATTCTCCATCGCTTCGTAGTAGCGATCCTTCATGCCCTCCTTTCTGAAGGCAAATACCCGGGGTGCTTTGTCGATCTCATGCGATCTTGAAAATTCTTCGTCGATCATAGTTTCATACACAACTCCGGCAGATTTCGAAGTATCCTGGCTATGAAGTTGCGCATAACACCCAACGTTGTTTGCTGACTTGAGTATGAGAGATAGTCGGTTGTTTGCGAAAATGTCTCGCTCGACTGTTTGACGCACAACCTGTTTCAGAGACAATCCTCAACCAACAATATGAATATAACCTTCTTTAAAGCAGCCCATGAGGGTCAAAGCTCGTAAGACGCGTGCAGTCTTGACCTTGTCGAGGTTGACCGCTTCAGCCAGCTTATCCACGCTAAGGCCTTCCGGATGTTGGTCCAGAACATCTGCAAGACGCGCTCGGAAGGCAACGCCTGTGCACGCCCAGTTGTAATTGAAAACAAACTAAGGAAATTAACGACAGAGCAGAGATCATTTGCACACGACACTCACATTCATCACCGTGTGCTGGGGGGGCGCTAGTATTGAGCTCAGTTGATGGTATGCGCCTTCGAGCAGTCTGATCGCCTTTTTGAGGGCAAGTGTATCTGTCGTCAGGTCGAGGGGGTGGAAGGTTGTTGCATCAGCACTGGGGACGCCATGTCCGGTTTTCTTGTACTCTGCGATTGCTTGGTGCGCGGAGGAGTTGATGATATCCAAAAGAGCTTCAAGCTTAGCCTCCGGTTCATTGAAGTCGGTCATCTTTCCAGGGGTGATGATACTACGGGGAAATAATATTTATTGTCACGATATATATATACTTACAGAGTTCATGGTCATTCGGATCTTAAGCTCGGTTCTTTCGAACAACTGAGCAAACAAAATCCGGACCTCCGTGACGGTATTCGCAATGAAATGACCGCAGCTGACTCATCATGTTCGCTTCAGCTTGATCAAGTTGCGGCCATCCCCGCTGCGGAGTGTACTAGGCTAGTACTAGTGCCATCAGCGGCTATTAATAAATTACTTCTCAGTAAGCAGATTTCCTGTCGTTCACCGCCCTCGGCGCCGGCGCCCATCGCCAAGCCGCTACCCGAACAATAGAGCTCGATATCGACATCCTCGACTTCGATAGTCGACAGTGACTACTAGGCTACGTGGCACTACTCAGTACTTCGACCGGCACAAATGTGCTTCAAGTTCGCCTGCTAAATCTCTCCAAGATTGACCCGCCTGAGCCTGCAGGATAATACGCTACTCGACTTGTCCGTGGACAGGGTGGGAGCCTATAGTCATCCTTGGCATCTTTACAACTCTAGTACCGTATTCCTCGAAGCCGGCCTCGAGTTTCTAAAATCGCCAATCTCACCTTCTCACGCACTCATTGTACGTTATCACAACTCAATATTGTCTCATACAACGACAGAAGCAACTCGTTGAAAAGTCACATTGACTAATTCCATATTTCAGAAAACCAGCCTAATTTTCTCGGTGTATAACTGCACCCGTCCATTAGAATATCGGCAAATTTATCTTGGTGTACACACTGGGAGTATAACGACACCTAGGCCTGTCAATCAGAAAATATTTCATCTTGGTGTACACACAAGTTTAATGACGCCCCACCAGAAAATCGGCATATGTTTCTTGTTGAAAGCAGGAGTATCACTACATCCGTTCATTCGTCCTGTAGCCTGTAGGACTTCAGAACCCTCATTGATCCTCTTCTTCGTTATCTAGATTGTCTGCAGCTTCGTCATCCAGATCATCCTGCCCGTGCGGGTGAGCCAATAGTGGCAATCGCAGGTACCCATACCCGTACCACCCGACCCAACCATTCGCCCGCGGCTAAGCCTCGCCCATGTCAAACCCTATCAGGGTTTGCGAGTAAGTTCCGAGTGATAACAGGGTACCATGAACTCAAATTTAGTTCTCCGTATCGTGCTACAGGAAAAAAAATCAAGCATCAACGTAATGATCAGTTTGTGCACATCTTCTCCACTTCTGGACTCTCTAAAAATTCCCACTTTGCACCTGCCACCTGGGATTGCGCGTGGATCGACTATCTGAGCTTCAACCTTTGATGTGGCGTTCACGAATAAAAGTGTTCGCGAAGGTCGAGCGTTCTTCAGGAAGATGGACTCCCTTCTCAAAATACCACTCATTCTATCGCCCCCTATTGCGATGCACGTAGCGTTCACGCCCCCCCATACCCCCACGAGTGACGATATTGTCCACGAGAACCTCATTGAGTGGATTCTCCTTCAGGATGCTAACTATGGACTTCCAATTACAAAGGTAGCTTATCATTGGTCTTCCACGATCATCTCTAACGAAACTGTCAGGCGATTTCCTGGGCTATTGCTCTTACAGAACTTGCTGTCACTGCCTCACACGCTACAGATCCCAACATCTTCCCCAGCGAGTTACAAGCGGTAATTGGCTCACTTCGAGCGGTTCAAGACGTTTCTATCACTTCTCCTTTCCTTTTCGGCACCGCGCTCATTGTCCTCGGGGGATTCATTCGCTGGTGGTGTTTTCGCACCCTTGGTCGTTTTTTCACATTCAAGCTCAGTGTCCGCAAAGGGCACCATCTTGTCACAAGTGGACCGTACGCGGTCGTTCGCCATCCATCCTACGCGGGAGCCGCTCTGCTAACCATCGGTCAATTTATATTGCACGAATCGCCGTCTTCATTGGTTAGACGCTCAGGGGTTTTAAATATCCCTGCATTGAAAGCGGTTGCGGTGGTAGTGCTGACGGGGAGAATGATTGTCGTAGCAAGCCTCATACTTAGGATTAGGCACGAGGATGAGACGGTGAAGTCAATTTCGAGAGCAGAGTGGGAGAATTGGGCCAAGGTAGTCAAGTACCGCCTCGTTCCTGGCATTTACTAAACCCATTACTGCACATCATGTAATGTAGCGTGGAATGAGCTAGATGCAGAGAAAGTGAACCGTTATCTACTGCTGACAGAGCTGAGAATTTTATCTTCAAGTTCGACATGAATAACTACCCATCAGTCTCTTGCTGGATATTACATAACCCGATTACCAGATCGTAGCGCCCCCTGCGCCGCTGACCCGCCAGTTCCCGACTCCGCCAGGCCTTTCCACCTCCCTGTTGGAACATACAAGATGAAGGTGAAACTAGGTGAAGGTATGTAACCCTTTTCTGCGTGGTGGTGCTGACATAAACTGATTTTGCGGGCACGTGACTATACGCGTCGCGATCGAGTCCGTGTATTCGTGGCAGTGCCAAATTATCACCTAGGTCACGTCGCAGAGTATAAATACAACGGGCCTCGCCAGATATCCCTCCCATTCCCCGTCCTCTATTTACGTGCATTTCTTTACGACTTATATTCTTCACTCGCCAACTTCAACTCATCTTACAATATGATTTCCGCTATCTTCGATGGTGCTGCCCATGTCACCGTCGCTGGGTGCCTCGGAGCGTTCTTTTTCAAGGAAACTGTGGTGGATCGTACTGTCCAAGGTCGTCAAAGAAGCGGAGAACGTTACCACCGGCCTCGTCATATCCGAACTCTGCATATCTGTCACGGTCCTAGCTCTAGTTTCCCACAAGACCGCCCAGATACTCCTCAGTAAAGATGCCCAATTCCCTCCGAAGCTTAACTTGGCCGAATTCAACATACCTCTCATCTGCACCAAATGTCCGATTTCCCTATTGCAACAGAATCACTTTCATTGAATCCAATTGCGACCGAACCTTGTGACGTTTCTCTAACAGCATCAATTTCATCGAATCAAATCGCAAATGACTCCTACTGCACTTCACCATCTACATGTACACTATGCACACCATTGCTGCCAACTTCGCCAAATTGGAATGCCAAGCGCCTCTCAATCGATTCTGACACCACCCTCATCAACCACAACGACGATTTCGTGAAGGACTTCTCAGCCGTGGGTCTTCAGGTATGAAGTCGCACAGTCTAATTAACTTTATCACTTAATGTTGAATCTCTATAGGACGACAGCAACTGTTCCAGTGGTGACCTACTCCCAGGCATGAAAACAATTGATGACTCAAGTGGAGCCTCTCAGCAGACGCAGCTCCAGTCAATCATCCTCAAGGACAGATACTGAACGACATCTGCAGCCACTGACATTTCAGCCTCTCGTGGATGCTTTGACTCAAACGACCACGAGGCTCTCTCTCGGCAGCATCCCACCTCAGATTGTCACCCCCCGGCTGAAACCCCCTGGATATGAAACAACATCAGAATTTCCGCCCGGGCAGACACAAAGTATGTGCATTCTCATTGTGAAACCAAGTACCGCACTCATCGTCATTTGTTAGCACGAATCTAGATCGGCTCACTTGGCCGCTGTCCGTGACAGCATCAAGCGTACTCATGCCAAGCAATTGGAACACACTACTATGATCAGTGAGTGATTTCTGCTGACGTTTGTTCCGCTTGTTTATTTCATATAGATCATCTTGAACAACTCCATCACGAGCTCCTCATTGACCAAGCTGCTCTTGTTGACGGTTGGGCAGTTGCCATGGCGCAGCTTGGACTCGCCTCTATGCTGTCGCCTGGACCATCGCTTCTACACCAGACGGCGACGCCCAACCAAGGAACCTCGATCGAAATCATTCAAGACTGACATCTTCACGCACAGCGCTACTCCTAAGGTCCCCTACGACCAAATCCCAAAGACTTGCAACGGCCTCCCTCGCTGTCCCCTACGACCTGGAGCTTCACTGCCCACGAGGTTGAAGGCAACCACCGGCCGCGCACAAGCTATCTCTTCGCGCTGCCTAGCCTATCTCTGCAGTCTTCAATATCGGATGTCCCCTACAACAGAATCCCGACACAACCGCAAACGCAACGGCCTCCTTCAAGTTCCTGTCCCCTACGACTTGGAGTTGAAGGCCACTGCCCGCGGCTCGCATATGCGATGATCTATCCTAAGTCCCTTCTCTTTTCTTCGTCACCTTGTAAATGCCTCCCAATTTGTTCCCTTTTCTCTGTCTCTCGATTTGTTTCTTTTTCTTTGTATTTCTCTTATCGGTATGTACTTGGCAAACAATGGACTGCCTGTGACTTATGGACACATCTTCCTTTTATCGATATGTGCTCGACAGATGTTCTTTTGTGACTTGTAGACGCGCTTCTCCTTGTTTCTTTGACAGTATGGAATCATTTTTTCCATGTATGATTTATCTCTTGACAATGTTTCCATATTTTTGTATATGTACGATGTCGAGTATTAGATATCGACAGTTTGTATCGTAGTATCTGAATCCGATTTTCTTTACATGATACACTCTTCGGAAGACAGGCTTGAGGTTGATAGTGTGCCCAAGTGAAAAGGGATTATTTTTGCACATGGATCGATAACGCCAATAAGATATGGCAAAAGAGATCAATTCAATATTGCGAGGTAGATGCATGAACTAAGTCAAAATCACGGAGGTTCATAGCTTCCTCGTGGAAATTGTTATAGATATGCATGAGTGTGCATGCTTGGGATATAGGCAGGCATGTAAAATTGTACCTCAAGCATCGCGCCGCCTTCTCGGGCTCACATTAGTGGTGCCGAAGTCCGGTTCGGTTCGGTTCTTAGGCCTCTAAATGCGAACGCCGAACTGGACCATTGGTCACGTTCAGGCAAGGAGGGCAAACACTGGACCGGACCCTTATGAACGCGTTCACAAGCGTTCGGTTCAAGTTCAGAACGCGTTCGAACGCTCGAACGCTACATATAATTTGACAAAAATTGCAAGAAATACATGAACCGTAAATGAGTAGCTAAATTTCGTCCATGGCATAGTGTTCGTGAGCAGCAGCAAACTCAGCTTGAACCGTTGCAGAAATGTGGCCTTGACGGTACCCACTCTTCAATAGCTGAAGGGCCTCGAATGTTGTTGGCAACAAACGATTACGGCGCGCAGTCCCAGTGATGCCGCCACTCGAAAAGGCTCGTTCAGATGCAACGGCAGAGCCTTGAATAGCGAGGTAATCCTTTGCAATGCGTGAGATGGTGGGATATTGAATGGAATGGTGCTGAAGGCATATTGAGTCAACTTGCAAGGAAATGCGATGCGAAAAAACTCACGCCCCACCATGCCACTATATTCTCAACATCCTCTAATGGGGCAGCAAGGTAGTCGTCAAGCTCCTGGCGAGGTCTTCGATTTGTGGTGTCATTTGCGACACGAGTTTTGACAGCATCGCGCATCCAGCTATGGCCGTATGACCCATGGCGAGCAAGCGAGGCAGGAGCTGCAATAGATGGCTCTGCAGCAGCGGGCGAGGAGTTGTGATGATAATATTTGTCAAAAACCTTCCGCAAGCTTCTCATGCCCTCGTCGAAGTCGTGAGGCTCCCATTTACCCTTCGCATATGCCACCTTATAGTTAGGATCAAGCGCTACATTGTACATTAGATAGGGCATCATAGTAAATAAAACACATACCGAGGCAAACAAAATAAACATCAGTTTCGTCAATCTTGTGGTACCATTTGCGAATATTGTCGAGGCCAGAGTTGATTGCAGATGAAAAGTCGTCAAACTTCAAAGAACCAGCCATGTTTTGCCAAGTTTGTTGGAGATACTCGAGGACTGGAATTGCGCGCCATACAGTAGGTTCACGAGTCACCGAAAACAATTGTTGTGCATTGGCAGGTTCCTGGTTATACAGTAGGTTAATACAACATTTGAGACTCGACTGGACACTCGCACATACCTGAAGCACGTCGTGCATCAATTCCAACTTCTTCCATTCTTCAGCTGAAAGCTTGAATGCTCCATATGACTTGCCCTGCAAGTTTGGGACTTCGTCACTGTCATCCGCCAGTTGTATGAATCTATTCACCCCCTGCGGCAGATCAAATTGAGTTAGTATTGGGCATAGGCACAGTAATAGAAACCAACTTACTTTGCGTAGCTTAAGGGTGCGCTCCAACATACCAAAGAGTGAGGCCCATCGCGTGCGAATCCATTTCAAAAGCTCAAGCTTCGGCTCATTGACCTCGACACAACACTGTTGAAAAAAAGTGCGTGCTTGGGGAGATTTCCGAATCTGTGTAACAAGTGCGAGGGCTTTTCCTGCAGTGTCAGCAACCTCAAAATCAGTTGTTTCATCATCATCATCTTCATCGGCCATGTTCTTGAGGAGCACGCTTGCTGGTGTGGGTGTGACCTCCTCAACAAAGTGTTTCGCAGCTAAGTGCAAGGCGTGCTCCATACAGCTGAATAGTAGACATCAATATATATAAATCACAATATTAAATAGTTCACTTACCACACACAGTGTTCCCCAGCAATCCATTTCTTGCCGGAAGGGTCGATAGCAAGTGCGACAGTCTGAATTGCTGTGTCGTTGTTGGTAGCATTGTCAGCTGTAAACCATCCAACCTTAGTGCGGATGCCATAGTTATTGATAGTTTCAATCAGGATTCTTCCAATGTTGCTCCCACTGTGATTGCCGTTGATGATGGTGAATGCAAGCTGCTCTGTCTTCAACTCCCACTCATGAGGTTTCCCAGCTGGGGAGTCAATATAATGCGCAGTGACGGAGAGAAAAGGTACCCCAGGTTCGGAGGTCCATGAGTCGAACGTGATCGAAATCTTGCTATCAACTTGCTTAAGTTTCTCCTTTACACGTTGAACGGCAAGCTGCGCCCGTTCAAGAATTTCATCTCGAGTCTTGGTGCGGTGAGGAATATCCCTGTCTGAAAGGGAAGGCCGGAGGTATTGAAGGAGCCGGCGAAAGGGTCCCTTGTCAACGAGTTGGAATGCCTATCTATGGCATGAACATCCTAAGTCACGATTACAAAAAAAAAAACTCGCCTCGTCCTCAGACACGATAAGTTCAACAATGTAATCCATTAGACCGGTCTTGGTGAATTCAGGAATTTTAGGCGTGAGGGAGGCATCTAACATTTTCTGCAAGTCGTCGGTTGCTTTGCAGTTAGGAGGTATTGCCCGATCATGCATCTTGATACCTCGTTCTTTGCAGCGGTCACAGTATATTGGAAAGTGACTCTTCGCATTTCGAGCGATATGGGTGCGGCGAGTCGAAACACTGCCTTTGAAAAAGCACTGATTGGTGGGTACATCATTGGCTCTTGAATTGACAAAGTTAGTTATGTGTGTGACGTTCAAAGTAAAAGTAAAAACATACCTGCATATCTTGCACCACCAGCCATCTTCGGGTTCTTGGGTGTGCGGATTGATGCGTCCCTTCTCCTGAGTAAATACTACCTTCAAATCCCCACTGCGCTCCTCTTTCTTCTTATGCTTGCGATCCTCATGGTCCTTGTCTCCAAATATCTTGGTCCGCTCGTAAGCTTCCTCTTTGTCATTGTCTTCGGCCTCTTCTTCATCATCTGAACAATCCTCTAGCGCAGGGGGTTCGTCGTCATCGTCATCATGGTGACGGACCAGACAGGACCCATGTTGCACTTGCTTGGGTGCAGGCTGTCCTTGGGGAGGCGCTGGAGCCACTCATTTGGCTGGAGCCGTGTTGCCAGCATCGCGGATTTTTTCTGTCGGTTTAACAGCTCGGCCTGAGCGAGACACAAAGGCAGTTAGCTTGCCATTGGATGCAGGAGGCAGAGGTGGAGGAAGCATGGGCGTGTCATCGTCAGGATCATTGTACCAATCGATGGCACTAGCATCCTTGAGTTGGCCGTCAGATCCAAGTGCGCACGACATTTGTGCAGCAAGGAGGGTGAAGATTGAACCTGTAGTAAGTAGCTCATTTATTCCAAATTTTATGATAAGAGATCAAAAAAATGACGCACCTTGAACATCCTGTTGCCATGCAATTACTTGGTGTTGAAGCTTGAAGTACCAGAACGAGAAACCTGAGAATATGTTCTGAAAATAAAGTCCATTGAAGTCTGAATAAAGATTAACATTTGTTTAACATTAGGCTTACCAGAACATCGAGTAGATTACCAGGGAAGTCAGATCTCGCCAATGGAAATGTGTTGGGTGTTTTGGCTGCGAAGTCCGATCCGCTGTTGATTGTCCCGAGATCGATCGACATGCCGGTTGCCAGAAGATCAGAGCAGATATATTGGTGGATCATGCAAAGAATATGAGAACACGTTCGGACGGGTTCGAACGGGTTCACAGTATTCAGGCAGCAGCCGAACGCTGAACTTAATAATCGGTTCGGTCCTTATACTATTTCGAACCTAGGACCGAACCCACGGTCCGGTCCGGGAGGGTTCAGGTCCGAACCGAAGTTCAGAACCGGACTGCAGCATCACTAGCTCACATATCATTGCAACACATCAATACAGAAAGCAGGGTGGATGACTCTGCTTTGCAATCTCGGTAACAGGTGGAGTAGCTGCTTTTAAGCAGCAATCGCCTGAGGTCGGAAGATGTTGATGGTGACTCACAGCTGCCCAATGTTGAATATGTGCTTAATACACAGCCCTACGTTGTACCTTTGTGGGTACGATTGGTCAAAGGTGCATCCATCGAGTAAATTCCGTCATCTTTGGAGGTGATAGTAGGGTTCAGTGACAGAGGATCAAGAGTTTATATTTATGGCTGAGTACTGGATCTGCAGCAAAACATGACCGCACGCGCACCGTACGGCGTATAACGTGGTGGAAACAAAACGCAGATAGATGATCGAT